GGAAAATTTAAGGAGTTATTATTATGTACGTTTAGATGATACAACCGGTAGGATACTTTTGCACGTTACTGTATTATAATTTTGAAGAAAACCGGGAGTACAGCCCACAAAAAGTGCTCGGGTCGTCCCAAAAAGATTACACCAGAATGTTCGAAAGCTCTCGGTCAATATGTCAGACGAAATTTGGCAATATTGTCAAGAACATTGGCCAATAAACTGTTGCTAAAGGGTATAAATGTCTCTTATGTAACAGTTTTGCGGCATTTAGCTCATCTTGGATATGACAAAAAACGTCCACTAGCGACGCCTATGCTCACAACAAAGCATAAGGAAAAACGAATAGAATGGGCCAGAAACATATTAACGATAATTGAAATCGCACACTTTTTACCGACGAAACATCATTTTGGTTGTTTCGGAACACGATAGAGTACTGGTATAAAGATATTCGGCCAGTTCGTCCCATTCCTAAAGACCGAACCAGAATTAATGCCTGGGGCGGTTTCTGTATTAAAGGAAAGACCAGTCTCTTTTGTTTTCGCGAAATCATGACCGGTCAATTTTATGTCGATATCATAAGAAAACATCTTCCTGAAGCTAACAAGATGCTCGGTAAGAAGTGGCGACTCCAACAGGATAACGATCCGAAACATACGAGCAGAGTAGCCAAAGAATTTCTTCAAAATAATGTTTCGACCGTTATGGACTGGCCCGCAAACAGTCCTGATCTAAACCCTATCGAAAACTTATGGGCCATTGTTAAGGGAAGAGTGGAGAAGCGGCAACCAAAAAATATTGCAGAATTAGAACAGTTTATGGTGGAGGAATGGGATAGTATTCCGCAATATATTATAATTAATTTAATTAGGTCAATGAAGGAACGTTGTCAGCTTATTATTGATAATAATGGGGAGCGCATTCCTTATTAATTTTTTTACCTGGTTTTTACCTTTCTTTAATCTTGTGATTTAATGCGGCCATTCGGATGCTATAGCTAAAAATAGATGTCCAAAGACTTTTGTAACACACTGTATTTGCGATTGTCGAATGAATAGCATACCCCAAATCACGTGACATAATATGGCCCGGTTTTTTGTTATTATTGCAAGCATGCCCACTTTGCCCTCCCCGTCTATATGCACATCATTTAAAAACTTCTTTATAAGTACACTAACTACTGAACATAATAATCTACAGTCAAACCTCCGATATTCCCGTGCAATTTATTATTATTATTGTTGTTATTATTATTATTATTATTATTATTATTATAAATTCCACGTAAAACCGATAATACATATGAGATATAGATCTCGCAACTCGATAAACCGATATTTTTTAGCGATAGTAATAGTAATAATTATAATAGGTATCTTTACATTTATAGCGAAGATATTGCAATACATGTATCGTAATTGGCCAATCATATTGGCTTTCAACAAAAATTGCATTGTCTCTGACAGCGTGACTATGGGTCATTACAAAGGCTAATTACTGATCTCATAGTAATTGACTTTCACCAAAATTTGGAACTTGTGTAACCTCCAAGCAGATCGAATTCTCGATTAGTACCAAACTGCTAAAAATAAAAGTTGCTGTACCTTTAATCAATTCATCACTATTACTATAACCCATAGAATCAAAAGAATGTCATTAATAGAGAGAAGGCTTTTATCGTGTATATTGGTCCTGCTTGCATTACTGTTCGCCACTAGTCAAACGGCGCAACCCACTAAAAGAGATTACAACAATAAATATTACTACGCTATAGAAGTGTTAGATGACTCGTTTGTCACTCCACAGGAAATAGCTTCATTGCTGGACATTGAATGGGAAGGGCAAATAGGGGAGTTGGTCGACCACCATCTATTTAGCTCATTTAAACAAATAAACGAATTTCCATCAAAGCGCTCGGTTGAGTATGATCGCGTACTCGACAGATTCAACACGCTAAAGCAAAAACGATCTTATGCATTAAACGGTCTAAGTAGGCGAGATCAATCTGTAATCGACAGTATAGTGGCTATTGATAAACAAGTGCTGCGAAAGCGCCATAAACGATGGCCCATACCGCCGCCCGTTCCCAAGCCGAGTGAAGACGAAAAGACGGAATTTTCTTTGTTAGGAATAGAGGATCCTGGATTTGTCAATCAGTGGCATTTGGTATGTATGGAATACAACGGAGCAATAACATGAACGTTGCATACTGACCCTGAATGTGTTTTTAATGAAAGCATAACCCGATTGAACACAATGATCTAAATCTGACGGACGTATGGAAAGAGGGTAAATCATTATTTTGTTTCTCATTGTCGACTATCCAATTATCATACTGATACGCATTTTGTTTCTCATCTATACAGGAATCACGGGGAAGGATGTCATAGTAGCTCTCGTTGACGATGGTCTCGACATGAACAGCGAAGACTTGGCGCCTAATTATGTACTATCAACTACAGACATTTGATCTTTCTATTCGTATCCATTATCTAATTAAGCTCTTTCCTTGTTTCTAGTTTGCAGAAGGCTCATGGGATTTTAACGACAATAACCCGGTTCCTTCACCAAAGTTGAGTGATGATGCACATGGAACTCGATGTGCTGGAGAAATTGCCGCCGTGAAGAATGACGTCTGTGGTGTTGGAGTTGCTTTCGATGCAAAAGTATCCGGTAAGGCTTAGATGTCGCATATGAGGATCGGGGCTGACGATAGTATCGTAGTGTCGTTACTACTATCCACGTCATGACTTTCGATCTCTATTTGCATTATAACTTTAAACAGCTCGAATCCTCGAAAAGTAGCCTCGTTCCTTTATTCAATGTTGCGTGACTGTTCCAATTTGTTTAATAGGTCTCCGCATCCTATCCAAAGAAATTTCCGATGTTGATGAAGCTACCGCTCTCAATTATGAATTCCATAAAAATCATATCTATTCATGTAGCTGGGGTCCTTCTGATGACGGTAGATCAGCGGAAGCGCCTGAAGGACTCATTCTGAAAGCTTTTATCAATGGCGTTAAAAATGGAAGAAATGGCAAAGGAAGCATATTTGTATTTGCTTCCGGAAATGGGGCAGGAAGTCAGGATAATTGTAACTATGATGGATACACGAATAGTATTTATACAATCACCGTTGGTTCTGTAGACAGAATGGGATTGCATCCTTACTACTCGGAACAATGTTCTGCTATGCTTGTTACTACTTATAGCAGTGGAAGCGGAAGTTTTATTGTAAGCCTTGACTAGCAAACGTTGTACGCGACTGCAAATTTTTTATAATTAGATTCATAACGTAATGCTCACTATGCTCTTCCTTTGTATTACAGTACACAACGGATGTAGGAAAACGTGAATGCACAGGAAGACATGGAGGCACATCAGCGGCTGCTCCCATAGCTGCTGGAGTCTTCGCTCTCGTTCTTTCCATTCGCCCTGATCTTACATGGCGAGACATGCAATACCTAAGTCTCACTTCTGCCATTCCCTTTAACAAGGAAGACACTGACTGGTCAATAACGGCAGCTGGTCGTCCATACAGTTATAAATTTGGCTACGGCAAACTGGATGCGTATACAATAATACAAAAAGCAAAGACGTTTCAAAACCTTGGCCCGCAAGTTAACCTTACAATGCACACTATTACGATTAATAAAAAAATCCCGCATAATGATGTCGGCATATCAAGCAGTATAAAAGTCACGCAGGACGACTTGGATACCGTTTCGCTAGGAAGGTTGGAACATGTGACCGTCACTGTAAATATCGAACATCAGAAGAGAGGAAACATTCTAGTGGATTTGACCAGTCCGAACAAAATTGTTTCCAATTTGGGACAAGCGAGAAAGTTTGATACTCATCAGAAAGGATTGTCTAACTGGACTTTTATGAGCGTAAAACACTGGTAAGTTGCCATAAGAGTAGAATCTTCTGTCGACTATTCTTTTCCTTTGATTATGTTACATCATAATGTATTCGTTTCATCGCTGTTCTAACTTCTCTATTCATCCTCACGTATTGTATTACCTATGCTTGTTTAAAGGGATGAAAATCCAATTGGCGAATGGACTCTCCAAGTTCGCGACACTAAGGAAGCCAAATTTTGGGGCGTTTTTATTGATTGGCGCATAAAATTCCACGGCGAACAAATAAATGCCAAAGATGTCGAGATAGCTCCTCCAACACCATTCCAAACCAAACCTTCCTACGCAGACGACCAACAACCAACTACATCAAATGACGAACAGACATCATCAACACAAGTATCGGAGACAACAGCAGCATCTTCAACTATAACATCTGATTCATCAGTCCCTATCTACCCAACTTGGGTAGATGGCACAACAAGCAAAACCGACGCTGTCTCAGAAACAGGTTCCGTATCGCCGCCTTCGTCACCGCTATCACCTACTCCCTCCATTATATATGCTATTTTCGGAACTCTTGCAGCAGTCATTATTGCTATTGCTATAGGAGCTGTGGTCTACTTTAGGAAAGACATATTTCCAGGATCTGCGCACAATAAATTCTTTTCCCGCGATACATATGAATTTTCCGTACTCGCGCCACCTAACCTATCAAATAACGACGATGTGTCGGTACCCTTGCGATCAGGGGACAAGTATTTTATGACGTCTCGAGAACTGTTTGATGCATTTGGTGACAGCGATGTAGAAGATGATGGTGACGAATTTGGTGAAAAGGAAATTGGAAACGAACATACTGAACAATACCGTGACAATATTGAGGAGAGCAGCAGTGGAAGTCATGATAGGAACAATATAGATGAAAATGCGGACCTTGAGGACAGAGATAGGCAAGATGAGAACTAGGATGATTTTCAAATTACTAACACAGCCAGTGATGAGGGACGTATATAGAACTAGTTACGGCTTAAGACTTAAAATAGCCAGGAAGCGAAATTCGAAACAAAAAATTATTTGAAACTTTCAGGATTTGTTTTGTTTTGTTTTTTTATTTCATTTTTGTAATTTAATCATCTAAAGTGGCAAGAGTTTATACGAACTTTTGAACGCAATTCTTTTGTATTTAGAAGGAGATTCTCTAATGTGTAAAGAGCCCATATTCTTATCAATAAATTAATACTACACTGTCAATTCTTACGGCTTCATTTACATCGAATGTATAATATATGTGCGGCATCTTCATTATTCCTACGCCGTTCATACAAATAGCCACTCGAGAAAGGTAATTCTATAATGAGTATGTTATATAGAAGCTAACGCCGATTTACTGATTCTAGAGGAGAAGAGCAAGATGTGTGGATATGTAGTTGAGTACATTACAAACTTTGGAGAGAAACATGTGTGTATTGATTCATTTGATATTCGACTAGAGGACAAACGCATATTCGATATCAACAGATTACAAAGACATACCTTTACAATTGTTATCGTCTGTATTTCATGTTTCTACTACTAAAGTTACCAGTTTACTCACAGAATCTAAAACGTATTATTCATTAAGAAGGAATTCGGAATCCTTGATATGACAGACCGTGTGGTTGGATAATAGAGATCTGAAACGTCTCGCCAACAACGGTTATTATTATTGACATGGTGTCCTTGTCACTATCGCCTCTTGCATGTTTATTACAAAATTTATCGGTCGTAACTTTCGTTCTCCGGTTAATGTATACCACCAACGTTAATGGCGACAATCTGATTTTAAATGTATTTATTTGTTTGTGGATGATACAAACAATACGTAAACCAATTTCATCGCCAGAGCATACGCAAGAGGTGGAGGAACAGCGTTTCCTATCTGACGATAACAGTCTCTCATGTTGTTTCTGTCACTGTGGAATACGAAATGATCTGGGAAACCTTGAGCACGGGCACATTCTCGGACCGTGAGAATACGTCTCTGATTTGGATGAATCACAGTCTTCACGAGAGAAAATTGCAAGTGTTACTGTTGTTAGTACCTTCGTAATTACTTATACTAAGACATGTGTTATACGTGGAAACTGTACTCACGCCTGTCTTGCCCATAGGATTGACATCTGTCAGTGCAGTTGAGAAATGTTTGTTGAAATCTAATCTACCGTATAGACCTTTCCATCCACCATGTCTACTGGCGGCCGAATTGGGATTACTTAAACACCATGGTCTCAGCTTCTCAGGCAAGTCTACATATAAATATAATTTATAATATATCTGTTTCCTCTCAATACACAAGATACTATGCCCACCTACATACCATGGTGATCAGCCCCAGGAAAGAGCGGTACACGAACGACTCTCTCGACGGTAATACTATTGAATGGTCTAGTTACATGATTCCATAGTTCCTTAGCCTCCTTCCGACATTGTCGCTGAAATTCCGAGAGTGGCGGCGATTTATATGTCACGGTCATATCACCAACCCATCCTATCGTGTTAACATGTAACCTCTTCCACCTTGGTTTCTCCTTCTTCTCTTTTTCCGTCGGTGGATATATTTCATGTGGATTAATGTATTCGAATTCGGGTAGATCATCAATAGCATCTCCAACAGTAATGGCTGCGTGGGGTGCTCTCCCACCCGTCCTCTTAATATAACTGAAACTCCTTCCATTCGGCATGCTTATATTTACAGATCCATTGAATAAGAAACAAGTAATCGGCTGAGGAAAATCGGGTAACTTTGATCCGATCTTCGCACCCCAAAAGAATAACCGTCGCCTGCTCTGAGGCACTCCATAGTGTCCTGCTTGGTGAACACCAAATCGTGTCTGATAGCCCATAGCAGTTAGAGCACGAAGTATAAATTTCACAACGCCCATGCTTATACCACCTTTTATTTTCGTGCGGCCATCCTGCTCACCACCCAAGCGGAACGCTAGCATTCCACGAACATTCTCAAGGAGGAAGTATTCTGGACGATAGTAATCTACATACGATAGAGCAGTTGCGACGAGCGAGTTTTTTATGTCGTCAGCTTTTTTCCATCTATTAACTCCACTAAATCCTTGGCTAACGGAGAAGAGGGAAAGAAACTTCGTTAATTTTTGAGCAGGATTTGTCAAAATAAATTCGTTTTTCGTTTAAGTGCTTCATATTTACCATGGTGGACCACAATAAATAAATTCAACGTCTCCCGGAGCTGGCATGCTCGGAATTTTGTTGCCTGATAAATCAAGCAAGTCTTCTGGAATTTCTTTCCGATCATGTTCGGCAATTGCACGCTCCAGAAGACGATTAGCGCACTGGTTGTATGTAATAGCATCTGGGTTATTCTCCCTAAAAAAATAACAAATCATTAGTTCTGACCAAATGTAATATTACAAACTTCTTCCTATATGTCATATATCATTAGATATGCAATACTTACTTGAACGTTAAAGCAGCGCTTGCAGAGAGTTCAATCGCCCATCTCGTATCCACAACCCCAGTTTTATCCATTCCAATAGTGATACCGCCGCATCCTGAAAATATATCCATCGCTTTTAATTTCCTGTTCGTTTCCCGAGTATGCTTCATAAATTCCTTAAACTTCAGCATACGCTCTGTACGCCTTTCGCGACATTTACTACATACAGGAAAGCTATCCTTCCCTATACTTTCCATATTTTCAGCATCCGATATCTTAGACGACTTCGCGCATACGTAAAATGTATCCGGTTCATCTTTATAGGCGTCCAAATCATCAATATCGTCGTAATGCATTACCCAACATACTCCCTCCAGGCTATCAACGGTGACAACACGCAGTTCATCGGTGAAATAAAGTTTGCGTGCATCTCGTACTTCTCGTATTGGTTCCGTTGGGGCTCTATTCTTGTGCTTAAGCTTGATAATATCGTCGTATCTACCGAGGCGTCTGACAACTAGTTTAGCATATGCTGGTTTCAGTTTGTTATCGGGCTTTCCTTTCGAATTTGACGTTGTTAATCTAGCAATATTCTCTTTATTCCCCACGTCCAACAACACCTCTGCTATCTGCCCAATATCATATGGTGCTTCTGTGTTACTTGTATTTAAGAATACAAAGTCATTTACGTGATATTCTTGTTTTTTGCACTTGACGCCGTCCTGAATATTATTTCCTATCCATCTTGGTACGCTGTTAAATTCCTCATCCATTCTTTTTTCGCATGAATGACAACGTTCTCTATCTTTACAATGAACGAAGACAAAATCATCGTTCTCGTGTGATCTTACGTCTTCAAACACAGCATATTCTTCATCATACCAAAAGCGATAAAAGTAGACTGCATCATTAGACTGTGTCGATCCCGATTCTTTCTGATCGAGACATTTGACTTTGGCTTTGCTTAATATATGTTCCAGCAGTCTATCAGAACAACTATTCAGTAAGAATAGTTCTCTCGTGTCAGCAAGTTCTTCGAGCACAGTATCCCTACCATGTATAAAAAATCTTGCGTGGAATAGTTTATTTCGTGAACTATCTTCGAACATATACATTATTTTAGCAAACACTGGTGCCTTCGTTCTGTCGTTCTTGACATATACGATATCCCCAGAATGGAACAATTCTCCATTGATGATACCTGAATTATAATAAACACGTAATTTGTTACGCGCTGTCGGAGTACCCACCCATTGTATGTCGTGAGTATTGTGACTATCCACTACCAGTGGGCCTACATCAACTGACATCATTTGCTCCTTGTCAGAATCGAGTGTTGTTGATTTAACTGTTATTGAATCACGTGCGAATAGACCTCCGGTTAAGTTCTTAATAAAAGGCGTAACGCATATTTGACTGGTTTTCTCAGTGCTGAACTTTATATTACAGTTGGCTCTTCGTTCCATTACTTCATTCTGAATAGTGTTATTGGATTTGCTTGACTTCATCATCCTCCTTAACGTATTATATAACGGACAATCAGCCAATTCAGGTATACACTGTTGATTGAGCCATTCGGTACACTCATTGACAATAAAATCTAAATTATCTTTGATATCTTGTGCGGTGAAGTGATTTATACAATTACTTTCGCTTGCTGATGAAGAGTTGTTATTAAGTTTGTGGGAGATAAATTCATCGTATGTGGTTGACGTATCGGTCGCCATGGAGAGAATGACCTTGTTGGTGAGTTTGACTCGTTTGAATAAAGAATCAAAGTATTGTATATATTCAGGTGCTGGATTAAGAAGCTTATACCATGCAAATTGAGTGCGTAGCCATACTTCACTACAAAAAAAAAAGGGGAAGAAAAAAACCAGATGAAACAATACGCACGTCTATTGTCTCTAACTTGATCCTATATACAATATGTGCATTACCTTTGTTCATCTTCGGTATATTCAATCTGATAGCAGAATATAAAACTTAATTGAACTCTGTCATAATCGCCTTTTTCTTTTTCATTGTCATCATCATCATATTCTTCATCATCATCATCTTCTTCCCAGATAGGTTTGACTATCCCTGAAACTCTCATATCGGTATCTCCCGTGTCGTGTTCTTCAATACAGATGAATTTGTTATTTCGTGCCAAGTCGTACGCAACAAAATCATCGATAGTGCGACATCTGATTGTCTCTCTTCCATATTCATCCATCTGCTCAACAGGGTCTTCTCCGACTAACTCGAATTTCTCGTCTTCTTCTATTTCATTCGGTTTAAGAATATAATATTCGTGAAGAGATTCTAATAAAGATGTACACGAATTGAATGCCTTAATAATGGTGTAAATTTATCAACGATAAAGCATCCGACGTTTAGTGGCGTATTAGGCTTGTGTCTGAGATTTCATACGTACTATTCTCTACGCTCTTCTGTTTTAGACTCTTCTTCTTCGTGTGCTGTTCTGTAGTTTGGCTTTTTGTTTTTCGCTTTCTTACATTATTTGCAAGTGAGTTTGAACTTTCGGGAGACATTGTATTAACTTGTAAAGACTTCTCTATGTATTATATCACGTCGCGAGTTTTACATGACGCGTACACTAATATTTTTTCCGTGCTGGTCACATCATCCAATTAGTGCATTTGATTAAGAGCGTACAAATATTCGCAGGCTTGAAATTCAAAATAGCCGGCAACTTTGCCCGACCCAACATGTCAGAAATTCAATTGTGAAAAGTTGTCAAGCAGCAAAAATGGATCGAGAATGAGTAATCAACGCTAGATTGTTATGAATTTCTTGTGAAATATTAATATCAATGACTGAATTCACCATCAATGCGATAATGAACAACGTCCTGTTTAAATGTGTCAACTAACAAAGACCGAATATTGCTCAATGAGCGCTGACTTCAAAAGATCAGGGATAATAGTAAGTATTGAGGAAGGAATTGAAAACTGAAAACAATAATTCATTGATCTAATCGAAACTAAATATATAAGATATCGAATAGCCAGAATTCCCGTAATAATATCATTTATTAGCAGGAAAGAATAAGTCAATGCAATGTTTACTTGCACTACCCTCGGGTCTCTACAATCATCTCCCAAAGACAGGTTATTTTGTTCTGTAGAACCGTACTATGTTGCTGACACTAAGCTAATGTTTAAGAATTGAAAGTTATATGAATTTCAGCGTTAACTAATGATGGGGCATTCCATTATTAAGACTCCTATTATTTGTTATTATTATAATAACGTAATATACACCTATTCGTCTATAGGATATCTCGTTCTCCTTTTGAAACCGACTTTCAAACATGACCACCACCGCTATCCTTAATTGGTATTAAAGAAAAATCGGATAATCTGGCTCAAGATCTGTCTGGAAATGCACAGGACTTTAACTTCAAAAGATATTAGAATGATGATCAAAAGATCAAATGGTTGCAATTGTCGAATTATTATGGTTATAATGCATACGTTTACTTATAATGTGATGTACTAGGCCTAACGGTAATCATGGATACAATAGCGCACATTAAGAACCCACTTGCGCGGGGTCAATAAACCGTGAATTAAAATCCACTCGTAACCTCTCATTAAGAGTTCTGATTTCTGGATGCTGTGTGACATGCGGAGATCATGAACCGTTCCTTCAGTCTACTTTTGCTGCTCGACAGACTTCCTGTCTTAATGTTTCCGTCATCAGTAAACGACTCCTCTCATTTTCTGAAAACTCTTAATGTTTGTTTCACGTTCAAGAAATAATACAAGAACGCATTCAAGAGCCATTCGTTGGCTCTATTGATAACTTTATTGATGAATTTGGAAATACGATGGTGGAGAGTATATTAGTATGTACAAATTAGTTCTAATACCCATTTGGGATTTACTCTTTGGATGAGGAAATTGCGTACTTCCTCATCTAAAAACTAAATCATTCTATAGATTCGTCGATATAATTACAGCCTGATATAACTCGTTCAGTTGTCTATTGGAGATTCTTAGCCGTTGTGTTGATGCTCTAAATGAATTATAATCAGAAAAACAAAGGCTAGAAAAGAATTTGGTTTTCTATATACAATCGCTGCCAAATCAATGTCAGCGTTGACTTTCTTTCGTTATTCTTTGGCGACTGCCACTTAACTAGGATACATGATAGCAAGAAAATAAAATAGTCCATGAAACCGAGTAAGATTAAGCAAATCGGGGAAAGGCTGATGGCCTTCGAATTGTGATCTTATGAATCACGAAAGAGAAAGGTAATCGGGTAAAATATATAATGGAAAAATAAGAAACTGAAATAGAAAATAAGAAAATAAATAACATTGAAGGAAAGGAAAAGAAATAAAAGCAAAAATAGAAATAGTAATAGTAATATAATAAACTTGCTCTATACAAGTACCGTGACGGTATTGTCACCGACAATATTTATAAAGTAATTCGCTTCTGAAGTCTTTCAATATAACTACACTCCAAACATAATTGCTTCGATGAATACTAATACAATGTTCCCAGATAGAAATTAAGTCAAATCCCACCCAACGGAAATGCTCGTTGTTGAGTTGCAAGCAATACATTGAGTGATAAAGTCAACAGAATTTTGAAGTCATTGTGGGGGAGAGAATAATAAGGAAGGCGGAGGAAGGACTAAAAAAAGAAAGGCGGAGGAAGGACTAAAAAAAGAAGGGCGGACTAAAAAAAAAAAGGGCGAACACCCTCAAAGATTCACCTTACGCTATATATACTCCTTCCCTTGATACTGTATCCGCTGACCAGTATTGGGCTCTTTCCACGCAAACTTATCATCTTACCGAGAGATAGACTTCATAACTTCGAGAGTAGTTCCTAAAAGATTTCTTCCAACATAAAATAAACAAAAATATTTCCCAAGGTCCTAGTCATATTTATTGCTAGTAATCTTGATATCTATGTTAACACCCCCAAGTACACTCCTATAAGAAAAAAAAAGGTATGGTTAACAGATGAATTGGAGTATGGAAATTGACCAAATAGGAAAAATCGTGCGTACTTATTAAATTTACGACGGAATATTTTTGCACCTTCGGGAGATTTAAAGACAATGCTGGCTTTTTGTCCAACACGATCGATTTGTACAGTCTATATGAAATTAAATAATTAAATAAACTTGCTAATAGGATTAATATTACAGCCGTCATATATTGACTGAATACTAACCAAATAACCATTCGGTACCTCTGAGGCCATACGTTGTATCTCTCGCTGAGTGACATCTCCAGTAATGTTACTAATAACCACATGTGTACCAGGCGATGGTTTGGTTTCAGTCTTAATACCAGCATTAGCATTGTTTCCTCGTCCCGCCTCGTTATGAGCTCTTGAAGGACGAGTTATAGGTACACCTGATCTTTCTGCCTCATCAACGACAGCTTTTTTTCTATCTCCGCCGTCCTTGGGCAGATCCGTCTTCTCCGCTTTCCGTTTGTTCGCACTGTTGGCAGATTCTCTGGGTGACGTGGCTGTGTTGTCAGCTACAGGATCCCCTTGTTTTCTTCGGCTGAGTCTACCGGCTAAAGAAGATCTTGCGTTTGCTAACGGTGAAGATGAGTTCGTCATATTCGTCACACTAGATGACGAGTCGGCCGTGTTATTTACATGACTGGAACCTTGTGAATTAGACGGCTTTGCAGACTGATTATATGATGCTCTTATCGATGAAGCGGGCTGGCTCCTTTTCGCTGCGTTTTTCGTTGCGTTCATTTCGCCCTTACCAGCTGTGTTCTTTGATGCCACATTAAATTCGTTCTTTCCCGATCCGGCAGTCACATTGGGATATCTTGTCGAAGCATTAGACATCTTTGCGGATGGGTTTGCTGGCAATCTGGCGGCGTTAGACTGAATCATTGTCAAAGAATCAGTTTTGGATTTGCCCGATATATTAGTCTGGCTTCTTGGTGATTCGACCTGGTTCTTCGTTTGTGCATTGGTTTGAGTTTTACTCGATGCATTTGCAGCACCTTTTGCAGACGCACTAGCTGCACTCTTAGCAGCTGCATTGGCCACAGTCTTAGCAGATGCCGTAGCAGTGATTTTAGGAGAGACATTGTTTGCAGACTTCGGAGACAAATTTGTAGATGCCGAGGTATTCTTGTTCACAGATTTGGCAACAGTTCGCTTGTTAGTATCTTGTTCTTTCTGTTCAAATCCATCTGTAGGAGTCTTGCGCTTATTTGCCATTTGGGAAATTTGTGTCTGCATTTGATTTTGTGTCAATCTCCAATCATTCTGTGGCACAAGCTGATTGTGTTGACTATGTTGACCGATGTTATGTTGATTGTGCTGCATATGGAGATGGTGCTGACCGAAATTGTTTAGTCCGTTGTGGCGTGGAAAACCGTTTGTTCGTCCGATAAATTGTGGGGCCATTGGTCCTTGATAAGTCATCAATGGTGGCGCAGTTGCGCCAAAGGGAGTATGAAATACCATTCCAAACGGCCGCACCCGTCCCGCAAACGACGGATTTACGTGAATATTATGACTCAAAATTTGCGGAAATTCACCCGGGTGCATTCCCATAATTGGCATTTCGGCCATTGGCAACTGGTGGTTCATTGGCATCCCAGTCAATGCCTCTACACCAGGTCCAAAACCAGGACGATAAATCGGCCGCCAATCGGTCCTCCTTGCACCACGACCACGACCTAACTGTTGCGAGTTCATTGTTTTCTGCACTGATTGAGTGTTGTATTGTTGTTTCGCACCGATACCGCTTATTTCACCTTCTTCTTTCTCAACAGTCGTCGATTTTGTGGGTATTATCTTCGAACTCCCTTCGGATGGCTTTTGTGGGCTCGGTTTCACCTTTGGCGTTATAGATTGGGACGACTTTGTTTGTGCATTTGATGTATCAATAGAGGAAGTTACGTCTACGACCACGTCTGTTTCTGCGATCTGTTTTGTTTGTGACGATGCTTCTTCATTATCTTTAATGTTCTCTTCTTTTTCTGTTGTTATACTATTATCTTTTGGTTCGGCATCGGTTATTGATGACATGAAATCCTCAATACCGAGTTCCATCAATATTTCACTATCAATAGAGCTGCTTCCGATTGTTGTGTCTAGTTCGATGTCATCAAGGAGATCAAAATTGCATATTTCTTCTTCCAAGTTGAGCTCCTTGGGCGATGCTTGCCCACCATCGTCCTTATTGGTGGTTTCTATAGATAAGAGGCACAGGTGTCAGTTTCATTCTTGTTGAACAGAGGTTAAATGTCGTTGTTTATGCTGAAAGAAATTCATCATATAATATATCTATCACTCGTTCAGTACTCTAAAAAGTATTTGCCTGCTTTTGGGATTTCAGATTCTTCTAGTTCGACCCCTAGAGCTTTCAGCTCCTCATCTATATTGAAGTCTAACAGCTCTTCGTCGAATGTCGACATACTATTTGTGTATCTATGTTTATGTATGTGCGTGTGTCTGAGATTGAGCAAGCGAAGAGCAAAGGAGGTAGATGAATTTGGATTGATCGGTCGAACAACTGTATGAAATGCGAATATGTGACGTCAGTAATGCAGGAGCTTGATCAATCTTGTAACAACGTCACAAATTTCATCACGTTGTGGCGTTGACAGCAAAACATGATTTGAGGAAAGATTGTGTGGCACTTAATTTATGGGTCAAATCTCAAGGTTAATTGCCAATCGCTCTCCCGTGGTAATTAACTTCTTCAAATGAGGCTGGCAATACCTCTACTCCGCTAAACCTATAATTACAGTTAGTGACTTTAAATTAGGTTTTCTATACTCACGATTAGTACATTCGAATTAATTCGATAGTCTGTAGGTACGATCGGGGAATGTTTACATCAAAGTAACGCGCTTGCAGACAATTAATTAGCAGTCGTATTTTTGCCAACTCAGAATTCGATGGATAAGATCGAATTTCCATTAGTAACGATGGAATACTAATTATATGCTAAACCAATAAATATAAATTATTGAGTACGAAGAGCTACTCTAATTAATATAATTGATCGAACTGAGGATTGTGAATTATATCAATAATCTGATGCGACATTGATCGATGCTGTTAGCTTGCGAAATTACAACTGCTTATAACATTCTCATCGTTTCACTATGTTCTAAATTATTTTAAGATAGATAGCATACAAGTCACTTAGTCAATTTATTACATACCTTACAGACTATGCCAATACTCCTGACTTGTGCCTGGATAAACTTATGGCATAAGTAAAAGGAAAGTATGGAAACGTCAAACCGCGGAAAATTTGGCTGAACAGAATCAATGATGGTTGAGGGTGGGTAATTTGACCAGAGCAGACTATAATTTAATTTTCAAGCTTTATAAAACGAGAATGTAAGCCTGTTTAAAAACTAAAGGAAAGCATATTTCAAATTGACTTCTCAATAATAGAGTCTACATCTCTTTAGCTTTTAAACGAGCTATTATTTGTGTTATTTGTTATAGAGGTTACATATTTGTAATTACGGTTTTTTTTGTTACACGCTGTACATTCTCGCTATGACTAAGATTTATTCTATTAGGAACCTTTGTATAATAATCTTGGCTCGACATTGAATCAATCTCACTAATATAAAAATTACACTATTGTCTTTATCCTATCCATTCGATACCACTGTGGGCCGTCGCTTTTGCTTGTGTCCCGACAATTTTGTTGCTCTATCAAGTTACGTCTCTTGATCTCTAATGGGATATAATGCAATTGGATGGTCGCACAATCATGATTCGACGACCAAAGCATTTCTCCATTTAAACATCCTTCATTATACATACCCTTATACCTTGTCAACTTGAAAGAAATCTTTGTCGATTTCTTAACAATTTAACTAAGTCGTTATCTTCATGTATGAATAAGGAACTGTTCGTGACAGAGAAACAAAAATAAACAAAGACGTTATTTGACGTCTTTATTAATAATAGAGGGTAATTTTTGTCGTCATTAACGTATATAGTTGAATTAACCGAAATCGGTATCGACCTTGTAATAGTGTTATCGTTTAATAGACTGGGGCAATTTGAATTATTATAAATTTTCGATACTTTATTAAAGTGGGAGCATTTTTCGACTATAATTACATGCAGATTGTATGTACGTTATTATAACACGTGTTTCCACTTCATCAACAAAATGTAGCTGTATTGCTTGTCGTGTCATCGCTACAACACCTCACGCAAAAACATCAACATGGAAGTTGCTTATATTAAGTGACATGAACTTGCTTTTAAAGAATTTATTTTTAGTTTACCAAGACATCGGCTATGCACTTCGTCCACATTAGTTCGGCATGCTCGAAATTATTAGGTTTAATTGCCGCGGAATTCCTATTAGAAAAAACTGTTGGAACAATCCTGTGTTTAAGAATGAATCAGGTGAACGAAAGCACATATGTGAACACTATAATTATGCCAACAATTCAGGCGGCCTTGAAGGACACGCCGTTAAGGAGCTCTATTAGTTGTAGTAAACGGCAGAGTTATGTCAGTGCCAATGGATGGACATTGAAGTTTTCTGCTGGTTGGCTCCAAAAATTTAAAGACTGTCGTCTGCCGAAACTTCATGGGCCAGCTACTATCGTCGATGCCTTACCGTTATTGAAAAGTACATGCAAAACCTGTCCACTTGAACTAATTTACAATAAGGATGAAACTGGCATTTTTTACAGTCTAGAGCTGGACCGAAGAGAAGGATCAATGTAGGATTGCAGATTCTAACAATCGTCACCCTGAGATTTATCGAATGGTCTGGATCTTTGCTGAGAGGAGGAGAAATAGAGTTTTGCTGGACGTAAAAAGGATAAAGAAAGGCTAGCTATTGATTTATGTGCGAACGCCGATGGTTTTGCAACGACCCCACCCTTACCAGCATTAATAGTTTACCAGTGACATATTGTCCAATAAAAGACTTGGATAATGGCTGCTATTTTTCAAGAATGGCTTCAAGAGTTTAGTAATCCAATGAGTTTTGGATAATTTCCCGAGCCATAAGACGGATCGTGTTGTTCTTTCGAATGTTTACGTTGACACTTTCTTTTTACATCCGAATACACGGCCGATGGATGCGGGAATTATAAACTCGTTCAAAAGACACTACTATAGCCTGCATATCAGATGGATTTTAAGTGACCATAAAGGAAAGAACATTAAGGACTTGAAAATGGACGTGCAGCAAGCAATAAATTACAGAAAGAAATAACACCGTTAACTATCGGCAATTGTTCGAATCACACTAGTATTCTTCCAGTTAACGTCAATGCTCAGCCAAGTGAGCTTTACCATCGCCCATATCCCACCTCATCATAATCACATACTACGCTCTCTACTGTCCATATCGCCGTCTCGCCGCGGCGTCCAAGTCTTTCTTGCAACAATTCACCAACATTCAGCGAGCTCACGTAGTTGCGGATTTTGAATTATCCAGAAGAAACAGTTTATGAAGTGCCCGATGATGATAACTTTATTGGGGAATTTGTTGAAATATACAGAGAAACCATCAAATATGCATGTTGACGACAGCAAAGTTAATGATGGTATTGAATTACCAATTGCAAGAAGTTTGGAAGCTATTCATTCTTTCTACAACAGCAAGAAGATTCTAAAGACTTATTCAACATATTAATGCACTAGATCATTACATTAGTTTAAATCAATGAACATGACGAGTTTTTTAATCAGCAAGCAATAATAGTTACTCTTATCTTTTTACGATTAAATAAATATCTGTTGATCAATCACGTGTAACCAATCAAATGCTAACCCTCTATTCATGTATCCCTCTATTCAAGCACGCTCCACCCATTCCCGAGAGCGTGCTTAAATGGAGGGTTGACTGTATAAAGTTTAATTGCAAAGGGAAGGCGAGAAATTTTGTTATCTCGAAGGTCGTGGCCTGGGACAAATTAAGGAATTAGAACTCCTATAAACGAAGAGGGCAATAGTGTTAATATACTATTAGAAATATTATACATTACGGCTCCCATCACCCATCATCACTTACCCAATCCGGACTAATATCCATCGCCCACTTAAACTTCTCTCTTAAACTCTTGTTAAAGATTTTATCAATTGGCACTTTGTGTTTGTAGCACCATGCAGCCGAAATACGAGGATCAATATAATTAATCTTTGATGTGCTCAACGCTGTCTCCTTGTTCTCATCCTTATCAACCATCGCAATCTTTGCTGCATTGATCCTCTCATCTAATTTTACAATGTTTGCTTCCAACTTTTCGAGGGTTTGTCCTCGTTTTGGTTCCACCTTGCCAGTCTTTCGCTCTTTTGAAAGCTGCTTGGCCTTCTCGCCAACTTCTTTAAGAAGTGAATCGAGTTCTTTATCTGATCGCGGTTTCTTGCCATCAGCGATGAGTTTCTCGTTATCTTTTTCAAATTTAGTTCGTACTTTCTCTCGCTCTTTCTCGATTAATTGTTTCTCGTATTCAATTATCCAATCTTCCTCTAAATCTGATTCATCTTGTAATAAATCAGGACGTTTCTTCTTCTGTTTGGGATCTATTGTTAGGATAGTTTTCTTCAACTTCATCTTCTGGTATTTCAAAGCCCGTATCTATCAGACAAATCGTTTCAATCAGTCATTAAATCGTAACTCAGACATAACACATTACAACTATTATCGACTGAATTATTATATTGTAAACAATTGTTGTTATATTATTTGCACGGAAGACTTACTTTATCTTTTATTCTACCCATTTGATTCTCGTGTGCTTTACTGACACTTCGCTGATGGTTACAAAGAACAGCCACCTGCCGATTAGCTCGATTGTATGCCAAAATCTTGTCATGAATGGATCCATCAATCGGTGTGTTTGCATCCAACTCCTTCTGGAACACATAGGAAGCATTGTATGTACGGAAGACTTTGGCTGTAAGCCCATCCATATATGTCTGAAGATGCTTGTTCAAGAGCGAAGTCTAACGAAATGAAATAATAGTTTGGTTGAAGTATTTATCAAGCGATATAAAGCCAATAATAAATTTGACATTAACTTACATTCAATCGATCGAACAGGGGATGTTTTGGCTCCTTTGGCGATCGAGTAAATAATCGAAGATTCTTAAAAACTTGATCTTCAACTTCGACTTTGTTATAATATCTAATAGAGTCTTTACCCAAAAAGTCGAAGATAACTGCCTTCGGTGGTTCAAGAGTCACATGTTCGCAGCGTAAAGAACAACAACCAACAGTATCTGCTTCCTTTGCATCGTTCTTCTCATTTCCTGCTCTAAGAGCAAACCGATCGATGAGATACATAGCAGTAGCACGTTGGCGAATAGCCATATATTTGTCTTTGAGATCACGCTTATAGTCTGATCGTATTTTACTGACATATTTCTATAAAAGCAATGAGACATTAGATAAACAAACAAGTTATTTATAAGGTCTTTTAATTATCGAATAACAATTGTTGGAGATCTCAAAGTATTTCTCAAATGAATACCTTGAGCTCACGCGCCTTCTCAAACTTCTTCAAGTCACTTTGACCTTTAAGCGAACTAGTGGCAGCCAAAAATACGTATTTCACAGATTCATTGACGTTTTCTTTCCAAGTAGCTAGCCAAGTAACAGTATTGTCATGGACAACATTACCCCATGCATGTCCAGGAGGCGGTGGAGGAATCCGTGAGTTTTTACCGATATTAATAGTAACCTCTTCAGGCAAAACTCTTTTCTATAATTAATGTAAAGTTAGTACGCAGAGTTCGATCTACATATGCATAACCGAAAGTATATCATACAGTACATACCTTTAGACTCCCGCTCTTTGGGTGGTCCCCCCGACCTCTGAATAGATTTGGAGGTTCGATTCTAAAGTTCCCCACTTTTTCTGTACGACCATCAAGTTTACAATAACCATATTTCTCTTCAAGCGCCAATTTCTCTTGCTTGAGTAATTGCTTTTCCTCTTTAGACATGGATTTTTTGCGTTCCTTTTCTCTCTGAAGATATTCATATATGGGAGTGAAGTCACATTTTTCCAAGCTTTCGATCTTTGGGTTCTACATTCAAAGAAATCGAGTTAAAATTGCCCACTAAAGCAGAATCATATGATAAAATAGTTAGCCATAAACCTCTTTTGAATTTTTTAAGACTGCCAACCAGTCTCGGAAGAAATTTGCCCTAAATTTTTCCTTTTTAACATAGTCGGTGTCGAGCATAGCGGCATAGAACGTCGCAACTTCTTCTGCTTCTGGTGTCAGGTATATCTCCTTATCTATGATATCCGAAAAGAATTCGATCCAAACCGTCAGTCATGCGTTCGCTGCATACGCATATTCGACATAAATGTGCCAGTTGCTCACTTTTATATTTCATTTTAACTCCATGAGGTTGATACTCAGGCGGGAAGTACACTCCGTTATGTCCTAAAGTCTGCCATTTGGCTGATCCATCATTCTCAGCATTCTCCTGCTCCCACCATCTATAGCCTTCATCATCGTCGCTATCTTCATATTCCTCTTCCTTCTTAACAATGGCTTTCCCTTTCTTTTTACTCCCAACATCCTTTGCACTCTTTGTGCGCTTAGGTGTGACACCATTTGTTTTGCCCTATTATCGATTTTTTGATGAGGAAAGATTGTGTTTTCGTAATATGCAATACGGGTAATAAAGTTAGTAAAATGACGAGAACGGACTTTATTATCGGTGATATACATAAATACGTATAGCTTGCCTTTGAATTTCCTGCACAAAATGAAATATTAACAATTAGAGTTTGAATCATCAATATATAGGAGCTCTCTCAATACCAAACAAACGCATACTTACTCTTCTTGTAAATTGTTAGCTTAGCAAGAGGAATATCATCTTCAGATTCTTCTTTTTCGATCCCCTTAACCTTAACATCTTTCATTATAACATCGCCGTCGATGTCTTTCTCGACTTTTATACCATTAGGAACAAAGTCATCATCGCTTTCATTGTTCCGTTTCTTATTTTTCTTCTGCAGTGGTCCGGCTTTCTTCGATGTACCGTTTGTTTTGCTACTGTTTGCTTTGGCCGACGAAGATTTAATCTCGAACTCGGAGTCCGAATCTACGCGCTTTCTTTTAGTCTGATATGGACGTGAAGGATTAGTTGCGTATGGACAAGCTCGAAGAACAATAGCGCAAGAGATGATACTTTTTATACATCACAGAAAGTAAAGCCTTAGGTAGCTGTACATTCGTCTATTACTTATACCTGAGTTTTATTGTTTTTAGTCGCTGCTTTTTTCGGAGTGACTGTAGAGGACAGCAGGTATGAGCAATGTTCTGGAATCTGGTTGAATATTTAAAGTACGTAACATGAAGTATTATAATACCTCGCGAAGGTTGTTTCCTTGTTGCCGCTTTTCTGTTCTTGCGAGCAGCGAGGGGAACGTCGTCATCCGAACTCGGCATGGGTTGTTTTACTAAGAGATGAGATGAAATAATCAATGTCCACAAGTACTTTCTAAACTGTCCTTTGACAACGATAGAGATATGAGGGCTTCACAATACTTATTGGACGGATGAAAAGTCCAAGTCATGTGATTCTGATTGCGGAACCCCCTATGAGAAGACCCAATCGGAGAATGGATGGTGTAAAAAAAGATGATTGACGGGTACATAAAAATAAAAATATCTTGAACTCGGTATTCAAATTACTAAATTAATTTATAAGAAAGCGCCATGAGGAATTCATAATGCTTTGAAACCTACCATCTTTGAAACTTTCTGAAACAATCATCATAATTACTATGACTTCAATTTCCTAAACACTCGATATCATACAATTTGATTTGCTTATACTAAAATAATCACTTGGCATGACACAACATATATTTATAATTTTGCATATACACGTGACGGGTATTCGCTGTCCAAAATGGCGCTTAAACATCCACATTTGACGATTGTAAAGGCAAATGCCGAACAAACAAAGATAACAAACAGGAACTCATTTGTCGAATGGGGTAAAGGACTCTCATTAGACCAGTATTTCGAACGTGAGACTATCTTAGCCAATCTTGATTTTACAAGAGATAATTTCATTGTGTGGGTATTAGTACCTAAAGAGGATCCTAATACATTGGATATCATCAGTTCATGTGAGACGTTCAGACGCACAGCCTTTGTCACAATCTCTCCGGGCGTAATTGAAGAACATATTTGTTACAGCATCGCATCGGTGTTCACTCCTCCGTCAAATAGGAACAATAGTTATGCATCGACAATGCTATTGTTACTATCAAATAAGCTCAAAGAACAAGGAGCCAGCTTTTCGTTTTTATACAGTGACGTTGGCCCAGTGTTCTACAGGAGACTAGGATGGCAAGTATATTCTCATACGGAAATTCGGCTCGATGTGTCTAAACCAATTGAATACGAGGGAAATGTGACCCTTACTCCCATCAAATATAACGATATCAAGCATATCGCTGAAAAAGATTGTGGATTGCTTAAACTAGAAATGAGATATACTGGCCAGAGAGCCATGGCGGTGGTACCGAGTGCTTCTTGCATTGAATGGATGGATATGAGGGCTAAATATTTTGCAAATGCATGCGATATTGACGAACCTACTGAGTGGGGGACCGTTGTGTCGAGCAGAGATGATAGTTTGGAATTCGTTTTGTGGTGTCATGAGTTCAATGAAAAGGAATTGTTAGTTTTGAGGTTGAGGACAGATGGGAGCAATCACCAGGTAACTAGGGCCTTGCTTAGACAGGCTCAGACGGAAGCATTGAAACACAATTTAGATAAAGTAATTATATGGAACAAGAATATCGCTGATGTATTAAACAAAGACGAAATCGAGATCGTAGAAAGAGAGCGTTCCTTGCCATCGCTCGCATGGTATCATGATAATAGCGGAGACATAGAATGGTTACTGAATGAGAAATATGCATGGTGCTAAATATAACAAGTCATGTAATGAATCAGCAGTGAGATAACTGATAAATTATTATTGAATAAATCTAACCAATTTACTCAACCAATAGTGCCACTTTGTGAGATATTCTAAAATCATTATCGATAGATGCGACTATTCGTCATGCTTTGAATTGAACCTAATTGAGTCATTTACAGACCACTCCTACTCTTTAGCTATATTCTCTTCTTAGTTTAGGCATTTAATCCCATCCGCTAGAAGGATTGTTTGTAGGCTCATCAGCCCAATCGCCTCCACTAGTGTCGAATGTGCTCTCATCAAACACAGATGTTGGTGGTGGCTCCACGGGAACAGGTGGCTCGGCAAATGGTTCACTTACTGCGGTAAATGGTGGTTCGCTGACTGCGGTAAACGTTCCGGTAGTGTCTCCCCAGCCACCACCAGTTTCTTCCGTATCAGGCATATCCCATCCACTGCTTGCTGGATTATTTGTGGCGATCGCAGCGACTATCGATGGATTGACACCTCCAATGGCAGCAGTACCGGTTGCTTCCCAATCATTGCTAACATTCTCAGTATCCCAATTGCTGTCAGTCATATTAAATGTAGGAGGAGTTTTCTCGGTAGGTGCCAAAGCTTCAGTATCTTTTTCCGTTTCCTCAGGATCACGATAGAAGAACATATCAACCATTACATCCCATGGTTTGTCACGGGAGATTTCATTCTTCAAACGTTTAACTTCTCTGGCCAACATCCAGTACAACAATCCAATAGAATGCTTGGCTTTGTTATTGGCTGGAATAGCGATATCGACAAATCTCATCGGAGAGTCTGTATCGGCTAGAGCGATAACCGGGATGTTGACGTAAGAAGCCTCTTTGATAGCCTGATGGTCGGTACGTGGGTCAGTGACTATGATCAAACGAGGTTCTTTGAACGAACGCGTTATGTAATTGGTGAATGTGCCTGGAGTGAATCTTCCAGCAATTGCCTGAGCTCCTGTGTATGAAGCGAATTTGAGTGCTGCTCTTTGGCCATATGGACGAGCAGAGATGACTACTACATCGGATGGGTTTTCGATTGCAGCAATTATGCGTGCCGCGAGGACGAGCTTTTCCCATGTCTTTCCTATGTTGATTATGTGGATGCCTTTCAAAGATAAATGAAGAATGGGATATCGTGTTAAATTGAGACAATCATGGTAGCATTATTGATAAGTAACTCTAATGTAATGTCGACGTCGAAGGCAGGATTCCTTGCTTACCATCAGGGCGACGCTTCCACACGTACGGAATCATTTTCACATTTAGATTCTTGGCACCAATATGTGCCTGGGCAGCAAGTAGATATCTAATATCCTCCTCGGTGGCTATTGATAGAAATTAAAGTAAAAACACTCAACTTAATTAAATCAAATGCCTCGGCTCTTATTATTAACCAAGAGTTTTGCTCTAAATAGAACCCACCATTTAGGCAAGCTGGCAACTTAGACATGACTGCCAAAATTATGGAGACAGTAAGCTAATCGAGACATTTATCATCAAGACATTTGATAGTTAAGGAGTCCAATTAATATTTCCTTGCGAATCTAACGAGTGAATCTCTATTCATCCATCCAAAACTTTCAAAATGGTAGACCACGTAAAGGCTAAAAGGATACGTTAGGGGGCGTCCGAGTATAGCCGTAACGAAAAAAGAGGAAGAACCTTTTTTGCAGATTAGTAGGATTTACCCAGAATATTGCGTGACGTCACAGAAAATTTTTGGGAGAAAATATACGATGACTGGCGTGCCACGCAGCGGGTATTCTGACTTAATGGTCATGTCTCCTAACGGAGCAACAACCATTATCGAACTCGTCGCCACAGAGACCTGGCACAGAGTGAAGGAACATTACGAGCGAACTTTAATCTACTCTAAGTCACAAAAGAAACATTTTGCCCTGGACCATCCATTTCACCTGCGAGCAAATGGCTCGTGACATTTTTTTTTAGGCCTTGCTTGTTGTACAGCTCTCTTAAACCCGCCCCAAGATGTACTTGTTATTTTATTAGACTGTATATGTCGTACCCGTCACTATGTAAATCCCGCGTTTATATTATGCAGCGGGTCTGGATGCAATAACTCTTTGGCATAGCTTGGATGAACGAGAGTGGTGAAATGCAAAAAATTGACAATGCACAGGTTTGTTTGTTACAAATAGCTGTGTGATTTGCATATTCATTTAGGTCTCTTAATGAACTTTACACTATTGTTAGGTTTTGCCCTGTCCCAAGTTGTGCCGAACTGCAAGATTGCATTAAACGGTATCCTGGAATTCTGTACTGTACTTTTTTTAATCATCCATACGTTCCAACTTTTGGTACAGTACAGATAATACTATAAGGAACACTCCAACTAGAAGAATACGCCGCATGACAACGCAACACCAATCGTGGGCTCAGAAGAATCTACGTTGAATAGTGTCAACGTTAGTGTAAATATTGATATCGAGGCAGAGCAACAACGTAACGAATTACTACGTGAACGGGTACAGATGACGAGAGAATTGCTGAACATGGAAAAGGAACTTAGTCAAATTCGAAATCAACAGTAGTTGGACCGCCGTGTATAGATTGTTAGGTGGCGCACGCAAGTAATAACAAATGATCACTGTCTGTGATTATAATGGATAGTACGTATTGTAAAATACGAATTGAATAAAGTTTTGCGTTTGAAACGGGTATATAGAAGCTCTGTACTGTACCTTTTCAAATTCTGTACTGTTCTTTTTTTTCTAAATACGCTGTACTAAATAAAATATGACATACCTATATAAGCGCTGTACTGTGCTATCGCATTTGACCCCTGTACCTCTAACCCCTGTACCATCATCAATTGTATGTCTATCATTTCCTATATTAGAGGTAAGACTCTTTATCTTGGGTAGAGCCTTTTCTGTAGCATATCTTAAGTTAAGTGAACTGTTAATAATTGTATACAAGTGGCTCTCGATATAAGAAAGTGATCGGGGCCCAACAAATTCCTTTCTTATATCGAAAATCTCTTATAACGAGAGTCATTTGTTATAAGATTTTAAATCGGGTCCAGCAAAAATACTTTCTTATATCGAAAGTTTCTTATATCGAAGGTTCTTATATCGAGAGCCACTTGTAGATGAGACCTTGGCCCGTTCCTTTGCAGAACGTTAACGTTGAGGCAAATGGTAATTACAAAAGAGTAAAAGGCGTAAAAAGTCGTTATTATTTTGTCATTTCGACGTAGCTAACATATAATTTACTCTGTAGTGACATGATTGCTGAAGGTAAAGATCTATTGAGCAAGAATTCACAGCATACTTACCACTTTCTTTGCTTGCGATTAATTCCCAAAGTCACCGTCACTCAAACTTAAAAGAATAAAGAAGCAATGACAATTGAAGCAATCTACAAATTCCCAATTCATGAAGCTGCAGCAATCTGTGGGTTTGAGGCTGAAATCGCACAGTAAAGGGTATTGTCAAAGAAGCTCAGCCTTTTCTGGTAAAATTTATCTTAAAATAGGCCCATTTCTTAAGGCCTTAACAAAAATGAAAGGATTGTGTCACATGAACTTTGGATAAATATGATCTCTAAAACGAAAATTTTTCGCTCTTTAATAATGGGTAGACCCACAAAATGCACTCGACACTGTCGTGAGCTTGCGAAAACCAGCAGACTCCCTGTATAATTCCATAACCGACAATATTTTTATTAATGATAAT